CCGTGCTCCTCTAAAGATAGGAATTGATTTACCCAACCCCCCTTCTTGACAAAAGGGGAGAAATCTCCAACCATACACTTAGATAGCGTTTGGCAATAGATTTTGGATCAAATTTTTAAAATTTATCAACAAATATCCGTTTAGCCATGAAATTTGAACAGATTTCGCTGATCTTCAAGTATTTTCAAGTTACCAGCTTTTCGGAGAAATTTCACTTTCACTCATAAAACTTCATTTCTTTTCCAAGTAAAACACATGTCCCAAGTCCCAACACAACTTACAACTTCCAAAAATCACAACTTCAAAAAACTCAAATTTTCAAGTTTCAAAACTCAAATTTTCAATTTCATCCTCAATAACTCAAATTTTCAAATATCAACTTTTAAAAAAAATCAAATTTTCAAGTTTCAACTTAAAAAACTCAAATTTTCAAATTTCAACTTCCAAACTTCAAAATCTATCACCAAACGGGAGCTTAGTAATTTCAACAACAAAATCATCTAACTTTAACAGTAATATAAGAAAAGCAATTTCACCAATCCATATAAATCTTCAACAAAAACAACAAATTAATCATCAATAAAACTCTCTCACACACATACCGATTTGAGTTCCCCAAATTGCTTTGCATCCGAAAGAAATTCTCTCATCTTAGCCGTCCTCGGATGATGCATCCACATAGTACCATCCATAAACTGCACTCCATTAGCTTCACACGCCGCCAAAATCACATCCACTTCTTCAATATTCAATCCTACAGGCTTTTCCAGCAACAAATGCTTCTTCTTCTGGGCAGCAAGCACAGCCCATTTGATATGAAGACTTGTCGGTAACGGCACATAAACCGCATCAACATTTGGATCGTCGAGAACTTCTTCATAGCTACCGTACACTTTCGCCGTCGCCGGAAAACCATTGTCGGCGGCGAATTTTTGGGCTTTTTCGATTGAACGACTGCCGACGGCGTAGAGAGTAGCGGTTTGTGAAAGGGGTATAGCGCGTGATACTTTCCGTGCGATTTCAGCACAGCCTAAAATTCCGATTTGTATGGTGGAAACTGCCATTTTCGTTTTGTTTGTTCAGTGAATAGCTAAGAATCTATAGGGGAATAGTTAAGAATCTATAGGGACAAATGCTATCCACGCACCGTGTAATATTTATTTATATGCTCCGATACTAATATTAAAGTCCGATTAATTTGCTTTTATAAAGCTTCATTCCATATTCAATATGTCACATTTATCACAACTTTGGATGGGTTGTAATATTATACTGATTTTTTTAATTTAAATATAATATTTATTGTAATTATTAATTAAATTTTATGATATCATATTGTTTGAATCCACTGTTAAATAATAATGAAAAAATTCATTTGCTATAACAATGAAGAGGTCTCTATTCTCAGATGTTTTCTTCTGGGATAAATTTGATATTCTTTCCATTTAAATTTACCTGTCAAATTTTGATTTGACACATTTATTTAAAATAATAATAATTGGTATAGTCAATACTTTCTTCATCCAGAAGTCCGCTAAGGAAAATATGTCTCCAGTAGAAAAGAATCTAAAAAATAAATAATTTTCTTATTTATTTTTTGACGTTCGATCAGTAAAGAGATAATATATTGTCAAACGCATGTCGGAGATCAAAGACAAATATTAATAGGTCCCGTTAATTAATAAGGGGTTGTCATGTTTCCAACTGCAATGACAAATAGGGACATGAAAAAAATTTATTTTGAGCGAGGTACAATCGATAAAATTTTATTTTCTATTTTATATTCATATTTATTTAACGTGTTGAATTTAAGCTGTATCAAAAAAATATTATTTTTATATTATAAGATAAAATAAAATTTGTTTACACTATTTTCTTTAAACACGCGTTACTTTTAAAAATAGTTCTATATTATAAGATAAATAAGATTTATGTATATTCTATTGTATTCAAACCGGAGTTATTTTTAAAAATCGATATTTGATATAGGACTGAGAAAAAGACTCGAAAAGTGTAACAAAGTGAAAATTTTAAAAAGTATCTTATGATATAACGAGCATATTATTAGAGTATTATTTTTATCTTAATGATGTTAAATGAATAACAACATTATATAGTACGAATTTCATTTTAATTTGGAGCAAACAATCAAATTTCTACATATTATACTTCTATTAAATCGTACAAAATTTATATTAAATTTATTGAATACATATTTTTACTATATTTTATTTATAGAAATAATAAATTAATGAAACTTCGCATTGATATCTTATCTGACATTTTTATTAAAATAATTTTTTTTATCAGTATATTTCAATATATGTATCAAATGACTTCTTATTCCCTTCATTACTTTTTTACTGTACACTTTTCCACTTTCAATATATTTCCTCTATCTCAATTTATGTGACTTACTTTCATTTTTAACCAGTCTTAAAAAGAATGACACATTTTTATATTAAGTAACAATTTAACTATAAAATGTCTATTTTACTCTTCATGGAATGATTTATAGCCACACAAATTTCTATCATTCATTTTGAACTACAAGTTTTGAAAGTCTTACTTTCTTTCTTAAACTCCGTACCGAGTCAAACTATCTCACATAAAATGAGACAAAAGAAGTAATATGACGTAGACCCCACAATTTTCTTGCAATATCCCACTCAAACTTTACATTCTCTCTCCTTTTGGTTTCATTTACAGCCTTAACTAACAGTTTGGCCCTCCACAATTCACGTGTCGAAAAGTTTGTGGATTTTCATACAAGTTTTGTGGTTGTACCTCGAATAAAAAATTTCGATAACCCTGACCAAATTTATGGTAATTAAGTGCTACAAAACTTTGTATCCAATAATTAAGTTACAAAAAAGATACTCTATATAATTTTAATTTTAAAATTTAATAATTTTTCGCTTATGTATTTTATACATCATATCAAAGATTTTGTGCTAAGATCTATCATTGACAATAAGCAATCATTGCTACTAGATTATTTTAAAGAAGAATTAACTTTAAACAGATGCTCACACAACTACTTAAATTAAAAATAAATAGAGAATGTATAATATAGATATAATTTATGGATAGTGTATGTATAATCCGTGCATATAAGTTAAGAAAAGTAAATAGTGAATTCGACTTATTATTTATATAAATAGTGTCAGATGTAACATTATATTTGTCATCTAAAAAAGATATAACGCAATTATGAGGTCAGTAAAACGTATAGAAATGACAATGAGACACGGGTGTGGGGTGGTGTGGGTTTGACATATGCAAGGTGGGACAGGTTTAGATATATGCAGGTATGGAGCGATGTGGGGTGAGTTGAAATTTAAAATTTTCAATTTTATGCGGGGTGGGTGTGGGTTAGGAATTTCTAAATTTTTTTTCCCTTCGTTCTTTTCCTCCTTAGTTTAATCACTTTTGCTTTTAAGTAAAACACTGAAACTTTCTTCTGATTATTTTTTTTGTTGCAAAAAGATATTTATTTATATAATTTACATAATCCTTAGTCCTTACATCTGAAAAGGGTACATATCCATCTTATGGAAATTTTATTTACTCATTTTTTGAAATAAAATATTATAGTTTTGGAAAATGCACAAGTACGGAGTACTATATATTTCTACAATTAACAACTTACAAAATTAATACAGAAATTTCGATCAAACCTAAAAATAATATACTATTGAACCTCAAAATTTTAACTGTATCACATAAATTGAAACGAAAGAATAAAATTAATGATCCGAGAAAATCATATTATTTAATGCTAAAATGGGTACAGTGAATGTATTATTTCAAATTCAATTTCTTTTGGTAGAATCAAAATTTGATTGCAACTTTGGCGAAAATAATAGAAGAAACGTAAGTGGAGCAGGGCGGAGCAGGTGGATGCGGGATAAGTGTGGAGCGGGGCGGATTGAAATTTTGCAGGTGGAGACAAAACCCGCCCCGCCTGCACTCCATCCCGCTCTATTATCATCCCTAAAAATGTATCCATAGTCGTTTGGTGTGTGACATAAGGTATAATAATTCAGAATAAAATGCAAGATTATTTTGTTATGCATTTGGTTGAAGGTGTTAGATAATCGTTAAATTATTTATCCCACTATTTATATATTATTGATGGAATAAGTTATCTCATATACATAATATAATAACTTATCCCGAAATAACTTAACAAACAACAACCCACCTAAGTGTCAAGAAAATGAAAACGTGGCTTAGAAATGAAGCGCCCACCACATATACCGTTGACATAAGTCATTAGCATTCTTGTCCCAAGTGTTCCCAAAAGAAAAAATTAAAAAATATTGCTTTCTTGCTTCAAGAGGTTCTTGAAAATAAATAAATCTTGTTTTACACAAAAAAAAAAAAAAAAAAAAAAAAAATAAAAAA